ATTCCCCACCCAGTTGTAGAATTTCGCCAGAAATTCTGTCTGGCACTACTGATTTGTTTTTACCTATTGCTACTAAATTTTGCCTAATGATTTTAGTATTAATGCTTGACTTTTCTTCAAGTCTACGTATCGCACATATAGCAAGTTATTGAAATTTTTTCCTTTTGCACGTCACACAATTCCTCTGTCAGTGTAGGCTTTGCAAAGCAGATCATCTCTGTCTTATGTATCTTTTGCTTGTCCTATACCGCGAACATGTTCATTCTTACGATTTTGTACGACTTCTGCTTGTTGCCTGCGCAATTTTGTTATACAGTCGTATACATACGGAAGTTGAAATTCTTGCTAAAAATCGCGAACAGATGTGCACCTTGGAAAATTTCCAATGGTGCGGAAAATCTATTTTTTCAGGCGCTGCAATTTTAAGAGGTGGGTGTCTGCCCCTAATTTCGGGGGGGGGGGGCAAGCGTAAGTTATTCCTGATCTGATCAGTGCCGTATGGAAGGTTAGTTTAATGTTGGCGCTTAAATGATCACTTTCGAATATGGAGTAGATTCCAATAAACGTTCTAAAGTTCTTGGCTCCTCTCATTGCTATGTGCAGTCTCCATGTAATCCCTCTTATCGAAGATTACTCCCAGATATTTTACATGACTAACAAGGGGGATATTCTGCCCACTCAATGTAAAATGAGCCTCAGTTGGTCTAAGTATTTGTGGCCTGGTTCTTTTCTTAATTAATTTTTATGTTCCAACGCTCACACTACACCTCAATAGCACTGAGACCTCGCTGCAACTTCCTAATTACAGTTTCCTAGCTTGTTCTGCTTATAGGATCTCGACACAGACCACACAGAAAACACCGCACCCTTGCTGCAATGTAATTGTTGCCGTGGAACTGTTGAGTTCTTGTATGTTGGCGGAGCCGTTACTTAGAAAAGGCTGTTGTATAATTACTTATTTCGCTTTTGTAGGCTAACAAGTGGTCTACATGCCACAATATACTGAGGTGAGAAACTAGTGGAATATGTCCGCTTAAGCTATACATAAAAGAACGTGTCACGGCGATGCAAATTGTCCAATATAAATTATCGCAAATCGAAACATTCGGAACGAGAGTTTCTTCTGTGCGTGCAAGTGATGACGAAGGTATGGAGGACAGAAATCTACTCCTTGATTGATGTGAAGATTAGGTTATGCATATTTTGTATTTGAAGGACGTAAAACGAACAACGAAACATAATCAACGTTCTCTCGACTCAGAGAAAAAGAAATATGCTAAAGAACGCCGTCTTCTGGGAAGCGGCGCCGTGTAGATCTGGTGTGAACCAACATTTCGAAGGAATGTATCGCCTCTATCTTCAGAGTAAAAAACTCCGCGAGCGAGGAACTAGCTAGTGCAGGTGGCTGCAGATTGAGTCACAAGTCAAAAAACACCCAATCTATGGTCGTGAGTCTCATGGGGCATGGCGCCAAGACAAACTGATTGGCGGTAAACCACCAGTCGTAAAGTAAATCTGACTCTGAGAGTTGACAGTCGGAACAATGAGTGTTCTCTGAGAGAGTCGCCAGTCGGTAAGAATACGAGCACGGAAGTAGAAGACATTATTGCGATCCGTCACCAGTCAACGACTGATGAAGATATAGCAAACGGAGAAGACTTTATGTGTGCCGTGGTTACAGTGTTCTTAGAAGTGTGTAACTCAGTGAGACTGGCGTAGTTACTTGTAGTTACGTTCTGTAAGTGTCAAATAAATCCTATTACCAATCCAGACCCCGTCTATAGTCATTGAATCACGTGATAATATGTTATCTGATGAAGTTACCGTTGTTTAATAGAACCTAAAATTTTACTTTCTCATTTTGCGGAACAATTTTTAATAATATAAGTCTGTAATTTGCTTAGTGGGGGGGGGGTGGAGTCCAACTGGGCCCACTCGGCACTGCGGCCACTGATTGGCCTATTGTAGCCTTCCCGGCTGATTATGATGATGGAGAATATGGTGAAATGAAGGTTGGCAGGGGAAACCGAAGTATTCGGAAAAACCCGCCCCAGCGCCATTTTGTCCACCACAAATCCCACTTGCCCAGACCCAGGATCGAACCCGGGCCGCCGCGGTTGGAAGCTAGCGACTAACAGCTTGAGCTATGGCGCGCCCCATATAAGTGGCTAAAAAGGTAAAGCTATCCTTGTAACAGGCCATGAAGACGCCGAGGCTCCCACACTTTCTCTAGACAATCGGCTCACAGATTGCAGTAAGGTTATCAGCCTTACGTGTTGGCCGCCCTTTATCACCCAGGATGATTTGTCTTGCCCATTTCTGTTAGAGACTGAGTCGACCCACGGGGCCATAGTGCGGCTGGAACCCGTGACCTTCCGGCTTGTAGCAGAGTGCCTCAACCAACTACTCTACTGCGTGCATGTAAAAGGGCACGAGGAAGATTTTTTAATCTTTTACTGACACCGATCCATTTGCTCCTGCCAGGAAAACTCTTGTATTTGTCCTGTTTACCAAATATCGGGAGATTTACAGGGAGCCACCCAAGTGTAGCCGAAACCGGTGTATGGGAATGACGCACGAAAGGCAACAGTTACAGCGCACGAAACGCATATCGTTGTCAGCAGCATCAGAGTGTGTGAGAGAAGCCTCAATGCCGGCTGCAATGCCTTGTAGTTCAGAGAAAGCCCAATGTTTCGGAGGAACACATCGCCACAGTCTACAGGGCAAGAAACTAGCGAGAGGCAGGCGGCAGTGTTTGCACTGAGAAGGGTCCGCCGAATGTTAATGCACATGTCTGTCCTCTGTGTAGGCTTAAACAGAAGCTCGCTGCTGCTCGGAGGCTTGCGCGCATTCCTTGTAGAGCGGTGTCGGCAGCACAGAGCTCCGGACACGTCCAGGCACCGTTCGTTGTAAGATCCAACTATTTACCTGAGCATCTCCTTCTCCAACATGGCGACTCTGTGTTCTTTCTGTTAATATAAGAAACCACGCAAAACAGCAGTAAACCCAAGTTTTAAATATTTTGATTTTTACGTTTTTTAGTTAGCAAACTGAAGAGAAAGCATTTTGATCTGAATGGCAGCAAATAGGGAGCAGGGATAGCACAGTCGGTATAGCGACTAGCTAGGGACTGGACGGCAGGAGGTAAAGTGGTCGGAGCGTGAAGCTGACCACCAACCTCCTATTGTCGAGATCAAGAAGACATGGATCCTACATCCACGCCCCTGTACGTCTTCATGGCATAGTGATTAATTAGTTAAGCACAGGGACAAGTTTACCTTTTTATGGCAGTATATATTCCCAGAGCCGGTCACGGTAGCCGAGCGGTCTGAGGTATGCACTCTCTTCTCTCGCTCGGAAGCCGGGATCGTGAGTTCGAATCCCACTGAGGGCATGGATGTTTAGTGTTTGTATGTGTACGCCTGTGTGTGTGCGTCTTTCTGTGTTTGTCTACAGGTACAGGCCTTGCGACGAGCTGATCACCCGCCCAAGGAGTCCTACCGTATGTCTAAGATATATTGTAGTAATCCGAAGTGAAACGGACAGTTTCATGGAGGTAAACCAAGGCCCAAATTTGGGCTGTAGCGCCAAGAAAAAAGTATTCCCAGAATTTGATCTCCTCTTAATTTGTAGGATTTCAGTTTCTCACGGTAGTGGTTATGAAGAGTGTTCTCTTCTGGGAAATAAAGGAGTGTAGCCTCCACGGCGCTATATCCCAGAAGATAGAGCTATGCTCCTAATTTTTTTTATGAATGTAATTTTAGTTTGTTACTGCAATTTCCAGTTATTTAAACCTTACCAACTTTCGAAGTGTTTTTGATATTTCCAACATTCTGGTAATGAGACATGAATGTATAGGATCTGCTTAGTTTTCTGCTGTTTTGTTTTTTTATACCAGCCTCCTCAGTACCGTCTACGAGAGTGACGTAATAATAATGTTTATGTTCTTTATTTTTCGCCCAGCAAATTACTATTTTCACGTGTTTATATTCGTAACCACTTGCGACTCCAATGTCTCACGTGTCCTTTGTTTCATGACTAATATTAACGGTTTCTGGATCGGATGATAGACTTTATTTTTTTTTTCATGTCATGCATCCTGCTGTGTTAAATACACAGTTTCTTATTAAAACCGTTACAACCGCTGTGGCGCTTTTAATAAGAAATTGTAGACTTTATTATTGACTGCTTTACAAGTACAGTCGATTAGAACAGCTCACAATCAATGACTGCGTAAGACTCACTCCATTCCTTACTGGACTACGAGTGTCTTCTCTTCCGCTGTGACTGACTTGGTTCTAATTTACGAATCGGTCACTTCTTCAGCTCCCGTTGTCCGCTGGTTAACTCTCCACAACTGATCACTCAACTGGTGAACTCTGAAATATCTTACGAATGACGTATGATGAATCGCGACTCACGACTGACTTACTGATCTGAGTCTCATTTTACAACCGGTATATAAAGTCAGACTCAGATCAGTAAGGCAGTCGTGAGTCGGTCAGTTACGTGCCCCCCTTTATACCTCCGGGAGAACCGAATAGAGACCACTACCAATAGCAGTTCCCCTATCACTGCCTGCCTATTCGTTGTCACGGAAACGTGCCTTAATTTCGTAGCAACACCCTTGATTCTTCAAGCTTATTCTTTGCTGCGAACACGTGTTTTAGCGAAGCGTTGTCTAGCAATGGATTATAATTATTCTAGATTTGAGGCGCCATGTCTCAATATTATGAATATAGACCACAAGTATTACAACTTTCAAAACAGGGCTGTTTTCATAGTATCAAGCTGCGTAATTAGATTTCAGTAGCATTGAAATATTGTTTTACAAAATGTAAATTTTTACACGCTAATTGTCTCCTACCGTTCCGTGTTCATTATCGTAGAAATAAGAAATTCAGTAAGGAGGCGGCAAACAGATGATGTGATAATTGCAAACCCTGTGGGGGGAATAAGCTTATTCATTCTGCGCTCTAAAAATACGAGCAGTGCAGACACTGCGATCGCAGAGCAGTCGTCAGTCATGTGTGAGCATCGGTGCATCAACACGCTAGCGGCCAAGGCCAAGTCTGATCTTGTCTACTTGACATCTCTCTCAACTTGAAGAGACCGCGGTGGGTCTAGTTAGTCATCTGGTACAGCGTGTCATCGTGAGCCCTTGGAATCCCGTCAGTCATCATGTCTGTATTTTGAAGAAGTAACACATCTGTATAAGCAATGAAACAAAAGAGAAAGATCACACATGTCGCCGACCAATTTGTCTGACGCGTTGTTAACCTTCTCACGTGTGATGGAGCATCGGGGTGCCAGCAGCTGGGAATATGAGCCTGGTTCGTGACTATTCGTAAGTTATACAAACCTGAAAACGTGCTCAGGGACACAGTTCAACGAACGGGAATCACTGTTGAATGGAAGTCGTAAGAATGTGATCTACAAGCTGCACCTATGTTCCAAATGTTTTATTTCTCATTCTGCATACCCCGTTGTCCTTGTAGTTACAGAGCTACACGGTTGCAAAGCCAATCACCCCGCGTGGGTTCCGAAGTTAACAGTGAAGAAAGGGAACAATCTTAAGGAAACAATAAATAAATCATAATTTCAATTAATATAAAATGAATATTAGAAGGAATTTCTGAAACGTCGCCCATGAAATATAGTTCCTTTTGTTTGTATTTCATTTAACTTACAATAACTTAGAAAAACTGCATAATGAGGTGCTCCATAACTTGTACTCTTCTCCAAGTATAATTAGGGTGATCAAGTCCAGGAGGGTGAGGTGGGCAGGTAATGTAGCACGAATGGTGGAGAAAAGGAATGCGTATAGGATATTATTGGCAAAGCCAGAAGGAAGGAGACCACTGGGAAGACCAAGGCGTAGGTGGGTGGACAATATTAAAATTGATCTTAGAGAGACAGGAAGGGATGGTATGGATTGGATAGATCTGCCTCGGGATGGAGACCAGTGGAGGGCTCTTGTGAACACGGTGATGCACCTCCGGGTTCCATAAAATGCTGGGAAATTCTTGAGTAGCTGCTGAATTGGCGCCTCCTCAAGAAGGGCTCAGCTTCATGAAGAAGTAAGTAAGTAATTTACAGAAAATGCAGTCGGTAATTTCTGAGATGAAACGTGACGGTAGCTCTAGTACATGATTATTTAATGTGCCTTTCGAACTTGTGTAATTCATTTGGCATACAACACTTCTCCAAGATGCATTGTAGTATTATCTACCAGCTTATCTCACAAGCGATATCGTCCCCTGGGGTTCTGCAGCCAGAGATACAAATGAACTTCTCGTTCCTCCCACGCGTTTTCTAAGTGCAGTCTGCTTTACGGGTCTTCAAATAGGTCACAGGCTGACAAAGATTCCTAACAGAACGACAGCAGCATTCATCAAACCCAGTCTACTCTCAATTTCTTTGTTAATCTAATTTTGATTAGTCACAGTCGTCTCTCTCTCTCTCTATCTATCTGTGGCTCTACAGCCCTTTAATTGGACCTTGGCCGCTTTTTCAGTTTCTTAATCCTATACACAGTCGGTAGGACTCCTTGGACGGAGAATCAGCCCATCGCAAGGCCGCCACAATCGCACAGAACAAATGCACGCAGACTTCCATGCATCGAGTGGGATTCGAACCCACAATCCCAGTGTTCGAGAGGGTAAAGATAGTTCATGTCTTAGACCGTGCGGCCACCGTGATCGGTGGTCACTGTCGCCTGCAAACGCAATTTCATCATTTCCGAGGATTTTATAGTCTTTCTTCATTGCATAACTAGACATAAGCTTCAGTACCTCTCGAAAGAGAGAAAACCGTGTGCATATGCTTTTGGCGCAAGTAAAAACTGTCAACATTTAACTTCAGCTTTTATCAGGTGGGAAAGATTGTTTTATGAGTACTTTCTTTCCTTTAAAGTCTTTGCCGGACTGTACATCCCATCTTGCAATATATATATTTTGCAAGAGGAGGGCTCATGAAATTGTGCATGTCAGTGGATTTCCTTGCACAGATGTGCTGCATGCTATACCGAAAGTAATTTAAAACACCTGAAGTCCTGCGTTTTCTGTCTAACAACGTCGCTTACTGCCCCCCCCCAGGGCGCTGTCTAACTGGTCACACGTAAGAGACGGCCGCTTACATGTAGTGAGGCAGTTGTTTACTGAGGCTCTGATGTGACTAAGCCGTTTATTGGTTCTCTGTATTAACGCCTCAAACTATACTTGTGTGGTTGTAGATCGTGCGTTGTAATTGAAATATTGATTAGTAGGAATTAGGGGCTTAGTAGTGTCTCGCTTTTACTTAAACACTGCCTGTTACGCTGCGTGGTATCTTATTTGATATTCGTCACGGTGAAGTTCTTTTAGTCCACTTGGCACGTCGGCCACTAACTGGCCTATTGTACCAACTTCGGGTGATAAATGTTGAGTGTGGAGCAGTCAGTGGAATGGGGATTGGAAGGAGAAACCGAAGTACTCGGAGAAAACCTGCCCCAATGGCACTTTGTCCACTACGAATCCCACATGACTTGACATAGGCTCGAGCCCGGGCCGCCGCCGTTGGAAGCCGGCGACTAACCAGCTGATCGAAGGGCCGCGCCATAGCTCAAGCGGTTAGTCGCTGGCTTCCCACCGCGGTGGCCAGAGTTCGATCAAGGGATTTGTGGTGGACAAAGTGGCGCTGGGGCAGGTTTCTCCGAGTACTTCGGTTTTCACCAATTGCTCCACAGTCAGCCCCACCTATCATCTGGGGCTGGTACAATAGGACAGAAGTGGCCGCAGTACAAGGGACTCAGTCCCACCCCACTAGCAATAAAGAAAAGGAGAAGGAAGAAACAGCTGAGCGATGGTGCAGCCTTGTCACGATGTGAATATGATACGCAGATCACAGCGACCGCGCGGTCTAAGGCAGGAACTGTCTTTGCCCGCCTGAACACTGGAATCTTGGGTTCAAATCCCACTCGCGGCATGGATGTCTGTGTACATTTATTATATGTGTGTACTGTTCCGTATGTAGGTAGCGGCGTTGTGGGTCCTACAGACTGTGTGCATGGGATTACGAAACTGAAAGGGCAGCCAGGGCCAGGCTCTACAGTTGACTGTAGAGTTATTGACCAATGACTGAATGTAAATAGGATGTTGGAAACGAAAAACACGTATCGTAGGAAAACTGGTCTGGATTATGAAAAACCCCTCTCCTTGGGATTGAAGGCCGTATCGTTAGCCGACATTTCGGAGAAATGTGCTTCGTCTGTTTTCAGGGACAAATAGTAAGGTAAGAGCAAGTAAGAAAACCATCACAGCGCGGGCGGTAAGCAGAGCTCGTTCAGTTTTCCGCTTGCTTCTTGTCGGTTTTCTTCTTGGCATACTCTTCGACTCTGAAGATGGAATCGGTATTTCTCCCGAGGCGTCAGTAAACTTCATCGGCCTCAGGCGATAATACTCGTCATTGGCGCTGTGTGAAGCCAAAATCTAACATGTTGTGTTGCGATACTAATGACAAGAGAGAAGAATTATTATTTCTGGTTGCGCAGAGTAACATGACACAGTTTACGCAGTGTGATTATGTATGAAACATTGAATTTGTATGTGCAATACGTGAACACCATGGGTAAAGAGACACGGAAAATCACAAAGAAAATCGTTCGAGATACATATATATTAGGACTTGATCCCTGAAAATTAAGATTTGAGGTTCTCAGAGCCGTGGTCATGAAAAATTCTGCCTTCTGGGATATAAGGCTATGTAGCCTGTTGAATGTGAACCGAAGTTTCGGAAGAAGATGTGGCCTTAGTCTTCAGGATAGAAGGACAGGCGAAGCAAGAAAACAGCTACTTTCACTCTGGTTTCTTGCTTGGCTTATTCTTCGGCCCTGGAGACGGAGGCTACGTGTTCCTCCGAAACGTCGGTTGACTTCCGACGGACTATACTACGTTATATCCCAGAAACTAGAATTTTTCTTAAGAATCTGCAATTATTCAAAGGACAGAGTTTAATCCCGTACAACTGCAAACATGTATGCTCTTGTTATAAAAACTGTTCCAGTACCCCTCAGGCTGTCTCTGGAACCACCAGTAAGTACTCCATTGTGCACTGTTCCGTTGGAGCACACACTTTGCCTTTCCACAGTTCCAAGTGTACGAAAGAGAGCACAGCCAGCGGATGCCTGCGCAACTGCGTCACTGAATTTAGCTGCTGGACCAAGCAGGCCGGTGGATTTCTGTGGGAACTTTCAACTCAGCTACTTCTCCTACGGCGTCCGTTTTCGACGCTCACGTAGATGGAGCCGGGCGAGCTCAGTCCGTATAGTGACAAGCTACGTGCTGGACGGCCGAGGTCCGATTGCCGGTAGAGGCAAGATCTTTTTCTCTTCTCCATAACGTCCAGACCGGCTGAGTGACCCACCCAGCCTCCTATCGGTTGTGTACCTGGGGCTCTTTCCCCGAGGGTAAAGCTGCTAGGGCATGAAGCTCAAAACTGACCTCGATCTAATGTCGTTGTCGAGAATGGTGGAGCTTTACCTTCACTCCCTCATACGTCCTCTTGGGGCGGTACTTAATAAATTAAGCAAAGGGGATATCTTTATCTTATTTTAGCCTACTTGCATTATTTTTAAAAAGGATGCTTATGAGATCACCTTGCTGTATGTGTGTCTGTGTGTCCCCCCTCCCACATCGTTGCTAGTTATAAATGCGGGCCATATTTCTGTGTGTCTCTTAAATTTTGTAGTTTTCTATGCAGTCCATGCCGTAATCAAAGTAAAGAAACCGATTAGTTCTTCCCAGAATTTCTTGTTTACCCGTGACTATAAACATGTTTTGTGTTGTGAGATTTTCTGCTGTATTATACAGTCACTTGTTAATCATCACAATTCTCGAGACGCGGTGATATACGTATAAGTGCACAAATTAACACGGCACTGGCAAGAAGAAGTTATATGCTCACATGTCTGTGAAGTACTGACGGTTGTTTTTCGTCAGAGCGCGCCTTGACAACGTCACATCGAGTTGAGCTGGCAGACCGTGAGTAGTGCGAGCATTAGCTGTCTACTTTTACCTCCTGTCAGTATGACATTCTTGTTACGCTTGTGTTATGAAGCTGCACAGAGCTATTGCAGAGAAGACTGCGTAATTTGTTTCAAATGGCGCTACTTCATTCGCATATAGACCTGGAACGTGAACACATCACGGTGTCTAGGAATTAATACCTCACCCGTCAACCAGAAATTGTACTAGGAATCTAATGTTTCGGAAGCTGGTTATGCCTTCATCTTAAGTGATTTAGACTACAAATTTCCAACGGACCCATCAGATTAGGTATATTTCTATTGCCTGAAGCGTTGTTATTTAC